AGTAGAAATAACATGCATGAAACATATATCACACATTTGAAACATACATAGTAACACCTCATTATGTGACACCACCATCGACCTAGTAGCTCCAGCCCCAAACCTCAGAGGCATCCTGAGTCCTGCCTTTCTGCTCTCTGTTACTCTCAGTCCTACTGGCTTTTTGTCCACAGCTCCCAGGATAAGAGTCAGTTCCCTGACCATGGTCTACAAGGCCCACGCGATCTGGTTCTTATCTAACCCTCAGACTTCATCTCATACCATATTATGCCCCCCTAAACTCTACTTGATGTTAGATTGCTTAATATTTATTATGTTTTACTGTCTGTCTACTCCTCGAGACTAGACGCTTCAGTGAAGGCATAAGCCTAGTTTGTCTTTTACCATTGGACTTGGTGCCCCAAGTCCAAGTCCACTGCCTGGCACACAGTGGGCCCTCAATAAACATTTACTGATGGAATGAATGATATAAAGGAAAAACTGGGTGTGAACAGAAAGGTTAGGATATCAGAAAACTACGAGTTAATCAGACAGTATCTCTGAGATACATTGATTTTAGGATGATTTTAACGGAGCCCAGGAATAAAAACTAATGGATGACAGAACAGAAAAGCAGACTCTGCACGGGGACTGGCTCCTTGTGCATTCCCCATCCTCTCATTCATGACAGCAGCTCTTCCCAGGCTCCTAAACTCTGCCCTCCTCCCTTTCCACACCTGATTGGCTGCCCGTCCCACCTCTCCTCTCCATCACTGGGGTCACTGGCTCTCATCTCTCAGCCGAACTCTACAGCCCCCTCCATGGGCTCCTTCCACAGTCCCCCTGTCTGGCTCATCTCCCCACAGGCACTCACTGCGGCTAGCAGGAGCAGCGTCTCAAAACCCAAGCTTCCCTGCTCAAAGACGACTCCGACCTCCTGAGGCCTAGCAGGCAAGTCCACATCCTAAAGGCTCTTCACTCTGAAGTCCAGCCCACCCCTCCGAGCTAGCTCCTCCGCCCCGTCCTCCCTCTCCCCCGACACCGGCCGTCTCTCACACTCTGCACCACACGCTGTCCTTGCGGGTTCACAATCCCATGATGTCCTTGCCGGCTTACAATCCCATGCCTTCGAACAGGCCATGTCCTCTGCTCAGAATGTCCTATGCCATCTCCCAGCTCAGGCTCACTTGTCCTCTGTGAAGACTGTTCAGTGGCCAACCAATCGCTTCCTCTTCCCTGTTAGCAAATCATTCCTTCTGTGCCTCCACCCATTACAGAATCATCCCCACTTGTTTCCTGCACCTTCTCTCCCACCGTGAGCTCCTCTAGTGTTCAACCCATTGCTTAGTCCTCTTTCTACTTGGAGGACAGTAGGTGTGCCCATGATGTTCAGCTGCTGGGTGGCTGGGTGGATGGGAGGGGGAAGGAGCAGGGAGCGGCAGGGAGAAGGGAAAGGAAGCTCTTGCCCTTTAAGAAGATCCTGGCAAGAAAGGGCAGGGATCAGCCGAGGCCTGGGTGGACCAGAGCTTACAGCCCTGAGACCCCCATTTTGAGAGACTGCCACCAACCTCTGTGAGCCACCAATTTCACTGCAGGGTGGGGTGGGGGATGCTGGATGCTCAGGCCAGTGGGTTTTTCTGGGAAAAATGTAAAAAGATGGGTGGGAGGAGAGTCTAGTTAAACAATGTGATAACTGTAAAGGTGAGTCCCAAGTCAATCCACTTAACTCTGAACTTTGCTTGAACTTTTGAGCTCACTGTATATGAGTGAAAATTAAAAATCAAATAACTCTTACTTGAGTAGGGATATATTTGCACAATTATAAATGAGTCCTGCCCTTTGCAGCAGAGTCTTTGTTTTCTACCCACTAGGCCTGCCCCCAAAGCAGGAATTAAACCAAGTCTAAGCTTTATGCTTGGAGAAATGTATCCATTTCTTTCTTAACTGTCTAATTTATGTTGTTCCTAATTCTACTTAGACACATTTTTCTTTTTTATTGTATATAATCTTTTAAGGCATCTCAAATCCTTTACTTTAAAAAAAGTATAAGTTACAGCCAACCACCAAAAAATAAAAATAAAAAATATATAAGTTAAATGAACACAGAGATTTATGTTTACTGTTTAGCTTCTAAAGTATTTACTAGAACAATTCCCAACCTCTTAAGTGTCATTACACCAAGAAATAGAAAATTGAAA